CCCCTGGGACCTTCATGATCCTTGCAGAACACGTATATTTCCTTATTGGGCATGATCAGAAATGTGATGTTTGATTAGGAATATTAGGTTTAATTGTAGGCGTGCAACCTGGGTACTAGAACAAATATCAATATCTTATCTTAAGAATGTTTTAATATTATTGTGAACACTAATTTTTCTTTTTAATATTTTGTATATAATTAAATTTGAATTCATTGAATTCAGCATTCGAACATTCATCAACGTTGTAATACATTATATTACAAATATTATATGTATCGCTTAAAAATAACAAACACATTAATAAAATTCTTATTATTAAATGTTAAAAATTGCTATTATTTTTTTATTGAGCGTAATGGTTTTTGATGTTTTGCGTTAAATAATATTAAAAATTACATAAATTTATAAAAAATATAAAAAATATTATCATTTATTCTCTCTATATATTATAGATGCGGTTTACTTAAAAAATTAATTATTATTCATTTATACTCCTCCAGATGATCTTTCAGTTGGAATGTTGCTTTGTACATACATTGTCGCTTTATCTACACCCTTTATACGATCAATACGATATTCTTTTACTCCACTCAAAACTTCTAAAAATTCATCATATTCTATAGATCTATTCTTTTCCAATTTTGCTTCTCCGAGAATTTTTTCTAAAACTTGATCAGGTATAGAAAATCCAACCATAACTAATGCTTTGTTTAAATCGGAAAACTCTAGGCCATCTCCTGATTTATCAAGATCTGAAAATACTTTTTGGAAACTGGCTATTTCTTCTGGTTGAAATTGTGATCTAGAATACAATTCTTCAAATTCAGATGGTTTAATATGTTTTATTTGTTTTACTCCTTCAAGAGTAAGTTTCCCATTAGATTTGGGAAGACCCATTGTATATAAAAATTCGACTGCTTGATCAAATTCGAGAGTTCGGCGTTCTGATGACCAACCAAGTTCTTGACTCATAATTTCAATAATGTGTGGAAGCGATTCAAGAGTTACTTGAGCATTAAGAAATGCGAGACGTGTACGACGTGCAACTATATCCTAATTATAATAAAAATAATAAATCTTAATAAATAATAATAAATTACAATAATAAATAGCAAGATTATAAATAAATATACCCACCACAGCAGTACATGCATACTCTCGATGGACTGCATATCGAACTTCTGCCTCAATGTAAGGATAAAATGGACTTATTCGTTTTCCAAAGACTGGCCAACTTTTACCTGTAGGCTCGGAAAACGCAGCAACCGCCCATGCACGATCACCATAACTATTTGCCAAATGTTGCGCAACCTTTAAAATAAAATAATAAAATAAGTTTATATTATATATTAATTAGAAAGTTGAAAATTGAATTTCTTTCAGAATAATTGAATTATATTAATACTTCTGTTTCTAATCCAAATCGTTGAATAAGCTTTATAAACATTGTATTCGAATATCCGTGTGATCCAATCAGTTTAACCTTTTCAGTTAAACTATCGTTTAATGGCTTCAATTCTTTATTATATTTATTAAAGATATTAAAGATCAATTAATTATCAATAATTATAAAATATCATTAATATGATTCTCTATATAAATAGACTTTCAATACTAACCAAATAATTCAATGGCTTTATCAACAGTTTCTTGTGCCATATTTCTATATGTCGTCCATTTACCACCAGCAATGGTAATCAAATTAGATTCACTCACATCAATCATGTGATTTCTCACCAATTGTGAGGTATTCTTAGCAGCTGGGTCTCGAACCAAAGGACGAATTCCAGACCATGCAGCAAGAACATCTCCACGTCGAACTTTAATATCTAAAAAAGTTATTTATGTTAACTTCAAAAATATTTTATATTTGTAAAACTGTTACTTACCGATTCTTTGCAGAGAATAAAAAATTCCAACAAACCGGCACTTAAATAACTTCTAACTTCATTTAGAATCCATTGAATTTCACCCTCAGTAGGAATTGGATTATATGTTACTTGAGTAGGGGAATCTGTTGTGCCGGCAATCGTATTTCCTTGCCAAGGTAAAACGAAAACAACTCTTCCATCTGATGTTTTTGGATCAATCATACCATAATTCCTAGGACTATAATAATTTGGTAAAGTTATATGTACTCCAGAAGAAGGTTGTACTATTTTTTCGACTTGAAGATTATCCATGGAACGGATACCATCTAACATGAATATATGAATATAAAAAAAAAGTAAAGGTCACGCATATTATCCTTTTATGTTTTTATGCTTCTCAATCAACTTGTTCAATAAACTTACCTGTGAATGCGCCAGTAGCATTTATAATAACTTTAGCCATGATATCCCATTCTTCGCCAGTTAAATTATCTCTTACATGTGCACCTTTAAGTTTGCCCTGATCATCTTTCAACAAATTTAATACTTCCACGTGATTCGCAACAACTGCGCCTCGAGAAACCGCAGTTAGAGCGAGAGCCACGTTCATTCGTGCATCATTATGTTGACCTATAAATAAGTATAAATAAATTTAACCAAAGGCTAATATTAGTTATATATATATATATATGTATATAAATATAAATATATAATATTATTTGTAGTAATTCTCACAACGAACCATCATAATAAATAAAAGCGCCAACAAGTTTATCTTTTTTTAACCACGGAAAAACTTCGAGTGCTTTGCTGCGAGTCAGAAAGTAAGAACTTTCAAGACTTTCGCCAGCCAAACTTGCAAGAAAATCGTAACCCTTAACCCCAACCCAAAAATATGGGACTTGCCACCACCTATATTAAAATTATTAACATTTTTAACATTATTTTTGAAAATTATTAAATAAATCTTATTTTTTTGATCTAAATATTTATTCAATGCGTACTTGTAAATTGGTAATAAAATTGGTAATGGGTAACTTAAATAAGGAGCGATGTGTAAAAATGTGGCACGTTCATGAAGGGCATCTCTAACGAGTTTGAGTTGTTCAAAATCAAACTCGGTAAAAGCCTTCTCGAGATACCTTACGCCACCGTGTACTAATTTTGTAGAACGAGAAGAAGTTCCGGCAGCAAAATCGTCTCTTTCAACTAATGCCACTTTTAATCCTCTTGTTGCAGCGTCGAGAGCTGTTCCTGAACCAGTGGCACCACCACCAATAACTAAAATGTCAAAAATTTGATTTTCTTGAGACGAATTTTTGAGTAAATTTTGCATTTCTTTTCTTGAAGGAGGAGTCCATAAAGTGTGTGGCCTATCAGAAAGACCTTCAAATAAAATTGGATTATTCGCGTCAGCATAAGTTTCGGAACCGAAAAGCTTTGAAGTAAAAGTGGAGGGATTTTGATAATTCTTCTGTGGACGTCTTTTAGTTGTATTATAATAATAATAAACTCCGCCCGTGGTGGCTAAACTTGTAAAAATTAAGTGATTTCTTTTAAAAAATTTCCACATATTGGGATTTTTTTTAAAAAAAAAGAAAAAATCGAGAATAAGAATTTGTAGAAATTAAAATTGTAGAAAATGTGAATGGATATTTATATTGATCACAATTAAATTATTAAATAATCTAACGCTCTATTCGCTCAATTTGAAGCCTAATAAGATATCTAACTGATTAAATTTCAATTTAATCTTTCTATTTCATTGGTTACCGAATGTATGTTAAAACATGACATTCATAATATAATCAGACTTTATTAACTCGATTAACTTTATTTGGATAGTAAATAAAAAATAAATGAGAATTTAAAATGGGGGAACTTAAACGTCAAGAATAGAGAATAAGGTTCTGGACTCTTAATAACTACCCACGTGAATATGTAGAAAATCTTTTGTGCTTTATCCGTATCGGAGTTAATGATAGTCAAATTATGATGATTAGGTCACGAGATTCCGTCTGAAGGTTTCAATTAAATAAACCTTTAACATTCTTTCTATCACTTAACTGAACTTATTGAACACGTTGAAATTACCAAACAAAATGACCGAATTTGAAGGAGAATGTGTCTTTATGGACATTGATGATGAATGGACTTTACAGGATATTACTTTACAAATTGAGGAGTTTCGAAAGGATAAACTATCTGGAATACAATATGAGAATTCATCTATGGTGTGTGCACCAACGAAATATGTCAAATTAAATTAAATATTCACGCACTTTTTCTAGACGTAAACGCGTTTAACTTAATTTTATATCAGCCAGACATTATCACCAGAAGCGTCGTTTGCCTTTGCTGATTCTCTACTTGTACCCTATGTTGTCGTGGATACCAACTTTCTCATTTCACATCTTGCTTTTCTCAAAAAAATCATTATGGAACATGCAAAAGAAAGCAAGTTGTTCGTCATTATACCGTGGATAGTTTTGCAAGAATTAGATGGTTTGAAAAGCAGGCCAAGTAAAACTTATGATTCTCCAAAAAATTCTCAACCCAACTTACAAAAATTGGCAGAAAATGCAATTTATTTTTTACATAGTTGTTTAATCGATAAATTGAATGGTATAAGAGGACAAAGACTTGATGAAAAATTAGAGAAACATGATGTAAGGATTCAGAATCTCTTTTTAACTTAATATTTAGAACTTTTTTTTTTTTATATGATTTTATGAAATTTTAACATATGTTACCAGAGTAATGATGATAAAATATTAGATTGTTGTAGGTAAATTATTTGCTTTATATTATTTTACTTTATATTATTTTTACTTATATTTATATCAAGTTTTTATTCTATACATTTTTATTAGATAAAATTATTTTTAATTTATTTTTATTTTTATTTTTTTTTATATTTTTCAATTAAATATATATATATAATCTATATAATCTATATAATCTATATAATATATATAATATATATAATCTATGAACATTTAGATATTTTCAAAAGACAACATCAAATCCAATAATTCTTTTGTCAAATGATAAAAATTTGTGTATCAAGGCTATGGTTCATGGTAAAAATAACTTTTATCATATATTAGAAATAAAATTATGGTAGAAAATTTATAAAAATTCTTTGAATCGTGTAGATTTAAATACAGCGTCATACGAACACAGAGGAGGTTTTGTAGAAATTATGAACAAAATATTTCCTGTGAAAAATAACAAAAATCAAGTAACAACTATTACAACCATTAATCAACAATATAATTCTAATAATTATAATCAACATTACAACAATTCTAACGATTCTGATGCAAATTTCAATCTAAAGGAAAAAACAATCGAGGTATTTGGCCTCCACTCTTTCAATTCTTTCAATTCTTTCAATTTAGTTTTTTTTTTACCAAATAAATATTAGATAGTTTTTTCTATCCTCACATATTATTATTCGGATCACAGGATGGTGACATAATTATGATGGATTGTGACGATTCACTACAATCTTATTCTTCTTCTTTAAATCATAATGAAGATCATCATAATCATTTCAATTTAATATTATCATCATTGAATGATTCTATTTATTCAATGTCAAGTTACAAAGATAGAATACAAGGAAATGAAAAAGAAATTAAATCAAACAACAAAAATAGCAAAATCCAGGAAATAAGGTTGGTTGATCCTCCAAAAGCTGTGATGGATTGTGATGATTCCATAAATGGTGTGCTCAATCTACATTTACCGGAATCATCTTTATACGCGTCTATTCACGCTCGAGGGAATTCAAGAGATCTGGATAAGTTCGTCGTTAATAATACTGATAATGTTAATAATAACAGTAATTCTAGAATTAGGGAAACAGAAATAATGTCAATTATGATATCAAAGATTCCGGAGGTTCCCAAAAAAATATTATCAAATAATATAAATATGTGTCATCAACAGCTTATTATCAAAGTAATAAGTTATCTTAACGATTCTCTCCCAGTTGCAATTTTGACTCATTTTCAAAATTGTTTTGGGCAAGATTGGACTTATTTAGTGAACATTCCCCAACCTTGGTCTTTGCATTCAATGTTAAAATTCATTGATCGATATTGGCTTACCGTTTTTTCGGATGTCTTTCAAAGATCTCGTAAAATTCATGAGGTTACCATTTCAAATTTGCTAAATTTCGTGCGAGATTACCATCAAAAAGGTTATAACAATATCAATATCACTATACAAGACCTGTTACAATTCATACAAAACTCGGAAGTTGTTTTGACAATGATTTATGAAGGGGTGGAAGATATTAGATTTCCGGCTTCTGATAGAAAAAAAATCATAGAAGGATGGTGGGACGAATTTGAGAATTCTATTGCATCGATTTAGCGAAGTTTAATTTGGTATTAAGGAATTTTTTCGGTACGTTTTTTTTTTATATATTTGTTAGATCCTCGATCATTTTTTTTTCATTTTTTAAAAATTAAGATTATCGTTTCACTGTAATATTTATTATAGTTGTAAAAATAATATAATCATTTTGGGGGAGGCATTTCGTAATCAAGCATTTCTTGGAAAATCTTCAAGCGTAAGGCCACTTTCGAGAGAATTTATGTCAATAAAGATCATCTCCAATTTTAAATAAATTTGGGAAAAAAATTTTTTTTTGATTTCTTATGTATAATAAATATAATTACAATTTCACTATGGTTACATTTTTTTATTTCATTAAATAAAAAAAGAAAATCCCTAATAAATAATGTTGCGAGTAATACTAATCTTACAAGAACTAATAGGACAAAAAAATTTAGTGTTAAAAATTTATATACATGTACTTCCCTCAATGAAAAGAAATTAAATTTAATAAATTAGTTGATCACCAAGCCAATTCTTTTGTTCCTGTTCCACAGTCTTTATCAGCCCGCGGTGCTTCGGAAGCGCAGCTCGATCCTCCCATATCACTACTAGCGACTGCTGCCCTAAACAATTTAGCACCATATTTTTGATACATTTCAGTAACACCGCCAGCAGCAATCAATTTTTCTTCCATTTCAGACAATTCAAATTCAAATTCTTTGCCGCAACATTTAACTTTACGTTCTTTAACTTCAATTGTTATTTCAGTTCCTTCCTGTGCGAGTTTGTAGAATTCTTCGTCGATTACCGTTATACCTAAAAGTGCCATGTTTGGCTACATATATAATTTAAATCGAATATTTAATTGTTAAAATTGTTAATAATACATTATACATTCACGTGTAATAGGAAATTAATATGAAATAACTTCATACTTGATTACGACTATAAATATATGCATAACTCTTGGCAATCACAGCTTTCACTCCGGCACCTTTCAGAGCTCTAGGTGCTTCCTCTCTTGAAGATCCTGAACCAAATCCACTACCACCAACAACTATATTGTACCCTTCTTTTACTTTTTTATTAAAATCGGGTCTAACATACTGGAACGCGTGACTTCCGAGATCTTCATCGCTTGTACCAGGCATGAATTGAGCAGGAATAATGGCATCCGTATCTACATTATCTTCGAATACCTGCACCTTTCCAGTAATTGAACCAGTGAATGAAGGTGGTGGTGGTGGAAGATCTGAACCTAGGGATGAGGGATTATTGGGATCTGCTAGGATGGGATTTGGTTCCGAAATTACAAATGAAGAACCTTGGTCTAACCACTGTTCAAGATATTCTTTATATTTTTCAGGATCTATGAGATCTAATAATTCTCTTGGATCCTTTACTTTCATTTCAAAGGATGAAGCAGCGACTGTAGCTGCGGACGCTAAATTTCCTATAGCACCTTTACCCTATGTAACATAATTTTTAAATATTATATATGTATATTATAATAAATATTATCCGATCGTTATAAACACATACCATCCTGTTTCTAAAGTTTCTGTTTTGACTACTAAGCCAAATTTCACCTTCACCAGCTTTATCAGCTGCAACTGCGATACAATAAGAACATCCGGGTGCTCCAATTTCAAATCCAGCTTGTTCATAGAACTTCACTAGGCCAAGTCGACGCAATTTCGCAATAATTGGTAAACTACCCGGTGTAACACGTCTTTTACCACCGATGGAAGGTCTATATCCTTTTTTGAGACCTTGTTCTAGAACCAAAGCAGCAAGAATTAAATCTTCTTCAGCTGTTGTACAGGCACCAATAAACACACCATCCAATTTTTTTCCTTCTACACTCTTGGCAGGAACAACATCGTCTGGAGATGGATACAATGCAACAAGGGAATCAACTTTGGATAAATCAATTATATGAGTTTCAGCATAAACCGCGTCAGGATCAGCACGGAAATATAAGGCTGAATTTTTATGAACAGGATTCTTTCGTTTGGCGATGAATGCAGCTGTAATCTCATCACCTTCAAATACACCAGCAATACCACCAAATTCTGTAGCCATATTTGAAATAGCAAAACGAGCGTCACATGAAAGATATTTTAATCCGGGACCAGTATATTCCACAGCGCGTTCAAAAGCAACAGTATTTCGTTTAAGTTCTCCAAGTACATATAAAATTGTATCTTTTCCTCCAATACCGAAAGGAAGCTGTCCTACAAATCTAATTTCGACGGTTTCCGGAACTTTAAACCAAGTCTCACCGGTTACCAATGGCATAACAACATCTGCAGCGCCAAGTCCTACGGCGAATGAACTTACGGCACCTGCAGAACATGAATGTGAATCAGCACCAATAATCATTTGACCAGGTTGCGCACGTGTTCGGTAAAATTCAGTATGTAAAATTGTATGATTAGGACGATAAAAATCAACTAGTTTAGCTTCCTTTGCAAAAGATTCTGAGGCTTGGATTAACTCGGCAGGTTTAGGAAGATGGTTAATTCGAGGATCGACGGTATGATCGATAGCAAGCCAAAATCGATCATTACGATGAATACTGGGACGACCCATAACGTCAAAAGTCTTTTCCATACCCTTCCAAGTAAGTTCAGATGCCAAAGTCCAATCGACAGATACACAGACCATATCACCAGGTTTTACGTGACCTGGTGATGGAAGACCAATGGCAGCATGAGCTATTGTCTTTTCACAAAGAGTCATACCACGACGACCTGGTGGTCTTTGTAACAATAAATCACGAGTGGGAGTCGTTTCAGAAATACGATCTTCCGCATTAAGACCCGCCAAAAATCCTTCAAGTATTTCAACAACTTTATCACCAATTTGAGATGTAGTATGAGTACCACCTAAATCTTTGGTGCGATAACCACAACCACCAAATTCTTGATCATCTAATACCTTACGAACAGCATCTTCAACGGCTTTTGCTTCACGATTTAAACTTAAAGAATAACGAAGTAACATGGCAACACTTAAGATAGTTGCTATGGGATTTACAATTCCTTGACCAGCAATATCAGGTGCGGAACCATGAATAGGTTCATAAAGTCCCAAACATTTATTTTTACCATCAGGTAAACTACTAAGACTGGCAGAAGGTAAAAGACCAAGACTACCAGGAATGACACTTGCTTCGTCACTTAAAATATCACCAAATAAATTTTCAGTAAGAATAATACCATTAAGTAATTTTGGATTTTTCACCAAGAACATGGCGGCAGCATCAATATAGTGATGTTTAAATGGAATAGTAGGAAATTCTTTTTCAAGAGTTTCAGTAACAACACGACGCCAAAGTCTGGAAGTGGCGAGAACATTAGCTTTATCCAGTGAATGTATTGTTGCCGGAGGATTACTTTGAAGTGCTAAATGTGCTGCAAGGCGAGTTATTCTTTTAACTTCTTCAACAGAATATGGTAAAGTATCAAGTGCTAATATAATAAAATATATATATATATATATATATAATGAAAACGTAAATAAATAAATAAATAAATAAATAAATAAGTATTAATTAAAATATAGTATATGAAAGAAATATAATATATGAATATATATGAAAATTTATTTTAAAATTACCTTGACCATTTTCATCTTCCTCTTTTCTTTCACCAAAATAAATACCACCAGTTAATTCGCGAATTATAGTGAATTCGGTACCTTTAACCACATTCTCCTTCAATGGGGAGTGAGAGATCAACGAATCACTAGAAAAAAAACAAGGACGAAGATTTGCATATAAATTGAGAGCTTTGCGAATATCTAATAATCCTTGTTCAGGACGTGGGCCAAGACCTTTCGATAGGTCATTAGGATCAATAGGACGAGGCCATGTAGGTCCACCAACTGCACCAAGCAGAATTGCATTTGATTCTTTAGCAGCTTTCAATGTTTCTTCGGGAAGGGGAGAGCCTATAAATAATTTTAAAATAAATAAAGAATTTATAACCTAAAAGACTTTTTAAAGTGACTTAAAAATAATTGACTTTTTGAATTATATTTTTTTACGAACCTGTATCATCAATGGCTTTACCACCAATCTTTCCTTCTATAAGTTCAATTTCTACACCATTATACTTAGTTCTCACTTTAGAAATAATTTTGAGAATTTTAACACCTTCAACAACTACTTCAGGTCCAGCATTATCACCAGGAAGCACAAGAACTTTTACTTTACGTTGAATTCGTTGAGAAACCATTATTAATTTTTTTTTTCTTGAAGCAAAAAGCGCGCTTTTTAATCAAATCAGTTACACCGCATAATCTGTAGCCAGTATTTCATAAATGGTATATTTGAATAACAGGTCCATTATGAGTCATAAACTATTATTTTGTTATGGCCGAAAATAAAGCTTACGAGAACTTTTCTGATCCTCCCAAACAACTTATCACCTCCGAGAATCAAAATTCTTTTGATATTTATTGTCCAGACTCATCATGTAAAGGTCTTATTTTGAGAGCCAATCATGGAATCTTGGTTGAACGACCCAAAGAAAAGGTAAATATACATTTTCAATAATAATATATTTTTATAATGAATATCTTTTACTTTGAATTTAAAATATTTTTAAAAAAAAATGTTGTATAACAGTTAAGGATACCTGATGAACAAGCTTATGCGGATTTAAAGACGAATGGATTTAACATTAAAAATGATACTTCGTCATCTCAACTTCAAGGGTTCTGGCAATTGACTGATATGATGGCTTTTGAAAATATTGGATTTTCTAAAACGATAATAGAAACGGGAATAAAGTATTTATGTTGCGCATATTGTAATGCAGGTCCTTTAGGTTATCATGATACAACAGCGAATGAAAAAGAATATTTGATAGCAATTAACAGAGTTAGTTATAAAGAAGCAGTTAATTAGTTCATGATTTTATTTATTATATTTATTATTTAATTTATTTATTTTTAATATTAATTTATTTAATTTATTTTATTTTTAATATTAATTTATTTATTTTTTTTTTTTTTGTAATTTGCAAGTTTGTATCAGAAAAGTGATAAAAGTTATTATTATTTGTAAGAAGTATTGAAAAAGAATAAAAATAAAAATAACTGGATTACTAAAATGTCATCTGAATATTTATTTATAAAAAGCCTCTAAGCTGTTCAAATCAGGCAAATCAAATTTTTAAATTTAATGAGTCTTAGGCTCGTAAACTTAAGCAAGGTCAGATCCAAGTTCGTGAATCCCTATAATTCAAACTTAAGACCTACAAGATCACAAGTCTAGTTCGCAAGTAACTACTGTACATATAAAGTTTTTTTTATTTACTAATAATAATATTAAGTAACCTTTGGACAAAAATAAAATTTTTAATTGAATATGATTCGTTACTAGCATTAATAATTAAGGACACTTAATATTGTCTTAAAAAAAAACTTTTGTATGCTCTAAAAATTCGTGAATCCTATATATATATATAGGCTTGTAACCTTCAATGATTCTACCTTCTCATTTCTTTATACTGAAAGAATATAAAAATAAATAAAAATAATTATTATAAACCTCTAAGAATCAAATATATCGGAAAAAATTAATTTTGCATGTTATTTAACTTTTGCGTTTCAATACTTGATTGGTTCATCTATAAGTATTATAAATAATAGCTATTTTTTCGTATTTTATTTTTGATGACGTTTTTAAAACACATTCCTAATTTTTCTCGTTTTTCTCGTTTTTTTCGATATTTTCATAAATCAAATCTAATGAAAGAAAGAAGTGTAGTAACTTCATTTTTAACCTATTCAAAAGAATTTGAAAATGATCCGTTGACACAAGGAGATAAAATTTTATTATTGAAACGAAGTGATAAAGTACATACTTTCCAGTAAGTTTATAATCACTTGTTCAGTAATTTTAGTTCTTAACATTAAACTATATTTTAATTTTATGTCGTAAGACATCTTTGGGCAGGTGTTAGTGGTGGAATGGAACCTCAAGATGAAACACCATTAGATCGTGCCATAACTGAGATTCAAGAAGAAATCAAATTAACAACTTCAGATATAAACCTTATTCGTTCTGGTTTACCTTTAACCATACGATCTGAAGAAACTTCAACCATTTGGAAAGTTTATCCATTCCTTTTTCGTTTAAATTCCAAAGACATAATTAATAAAGTGAAAATAGATTGGGAACATGATACTTTTAAATGGATTAAACCCGAAGATATGAAATCTTTTAATACAGTTCCACATCTATTAGAAACATTTCATAGAGTATATTTACCAAAAAGTGCACATAATGGACTTCTTTATATGCTTAAAAATAGATCTTCTGGTGCCCAAGAATTAGCGGAAAAAGCATTAGATATATTTGTTGAAGTTATTAAAGATAAATCATGTCGACAATTTACAACAAATTTCAAAGAATTATATTTAGCATGGCTTAATATTGGATGGCATCTAAGTGAAATTAGACCCACCATGAAAGCCTCTATTACTTTTGCTATTTTAAAAGTGATGAAACAGATCAAGGATCACGTTATTAATTCACTGTCAGATTCATTAGATTCGGTAGATTTAGATTCATTTGAAAAATATTCACTTGATATTATTGAACAATTCAAAATTACTTCCAAGGAAGCAGAACAAAAAATCAATTCAACTTTCATGTCAACTTTATTATCTGATACAAAAGTTACTTCTTTACATATTATGACTATAAGTTATTCATCTACAATATTTTCGGCACTTTCTCAACTTATTATTAAAAATGTAACATCGGATCATCCTTATAATCTAATTATTACCATTCTAGAATCACGTCCATTAAATGAAGGTGCTACATTAGCAAATAAGTTATCACATATTTTAAATAAAAATTCTACTTCAAAAACAAATCATTATGTAAAGATTCAAGTAATTACGGATGCATCGTGCAATTATTTTATGCCTACAATAACTCACGTTTTACTTGGATCTGATATAATTTTGGGAAATGATGGATCTGTAATAAATAAAATGGGTTCTTCACTTTTAGCATTATCAGCGAAACATCATAAAAAACAAGTTTATGTGATGTCAAGAACAGATAAGATAATTTCAAGTGATTCCAGTAAAAAATGTGACGTGATGGAAGAAAAAGATGCCAATGAAATAATTTCAAATTATGAAAAAGGATGGGATAAGACAATTACGGTGAGAAATGTTTATTTTGAGAAAGTAGAATCAAATTTGATTGATGGTTATATTACGAATGAAACAAATGAAACACAGGGATTGCTCACAATTAAAGACATAAGATTATTAGGAAAAAAGATAAAATCTATGGAAATACTGTTCGATGAATTGTAAATAATATAATAATAATAATAATAATAATAATAATAATAATAATAATAATAATAATAATAATAATAATAATAATAAT